GAAGTCCCTTGATGAAACCCGTGGCCCAGGCTAATAATAATAAAAGAAGGTCAGAATTCATGCTCAAGAGAACACTGCTGTTGATGCTTCTCAGGAGACATCTGTGCGGTCGGCAACCCAGGCTGTAGGTGACCAATAGGACCTCAAGTTACTGTTCTTGTGTTACCTTTTCTCCCTTTAATCACCAACCTATATTGCTTCTATATAGCCATCGACTTAGGATTTCAGAAGGAAAAACTGATCACAGGCCCACTTTGCAGAGCTTCAACCTGGGAGTAAAAATGCCTTATTTTCTACTGTTTCTAAAGTTACCATTTGTTCCAACTTTTATATTAAAATCTTTTAATAAAATTGCTTTATCACCGCAAGTCCTAGTTTCCCTTTGAGTTGAAACTTTGTCCTGAATGCCACAAAGGTGAAAAGTCTAGAACATTACTGGCCTGTGTTAATTTCAAGAGTTTTTAGAAGGAAGAAGAGAGCTAGTACACTTGAATTCCATTCACACCTCTGCTGATTACTGCCTGTGTGACTTTGGCAAGCCCCTTAGCCTCCCTGGGCCAGAGGAGGGGGCTCGGCTAGATGACCCCTAAAGTACCTGCCAGTTCTAGATCTGTGGGTCTAGAGAGTGGTACATGAAGGAGATCAAGCAGATTCCTCTGGAAAGAAGGGGATGGGCAACAGTGGCTGCCCTGCTTTAATTTACTTTGAGCCTGATATGAGAGGTGGCAATAGAAGTCTTTTCTAGAATTTGTGAAATACTTCTGCTCTGAAATAAGAATATCTTGTACCCCTAAAAGGGTCCAAAATAGTGAGAAACATGGTGCCTTTCTGTTTACGCTAACTAGAACGTGCTTAGATAATGAAATCAATGCACAACTAGCGTTCTAAGCTCCTTATTGGATATCCCTACAACCTTACTCACTTGGTGCACGAAATTCACCACCACTAATCCGGTTACCATTAGTTCCTCCAAATATTTTGGCTTGCCTTTCTCTCTGAGGGAGCAGCTGCTACTCTACTAGAAGAAAATATCTTCTGGAACTCATGTCTATATTTCCTTCAAGAAGAGATGCTCATCTCATTCCATTTTGTCAGAACAGGCATTTGGAGGATGGTGGAAGGGGCTCAATTGAGCCAGCACTTGGAAGCAGTTCAGATTGCATTTTTAATCCTTTATTAAATACTGACAAGAGGCAGCAGAGTGTAGTTGATGGAGAGCTGGCCTTGGAACCAAGGAAAATCTGGGTTCAAGTCCCCACCCCTACCCCAAACACACAACCGGCAATCACTTTACCTTTCAATGCTCAAGGCCACAGGGATCAAACATGCAGCCCTTGAAAGCTGCCAGTATAATTATGTACATTGTAAAGTGCAGAAAAATTTCAGTTTTTAAAATGGCTGAAGTTGGTTGAGTAGGACAGTGATGGGGTCAGACCTGTGTTTAGGAAAATTGCTTTAGCAAGTTGTGCAAAACAGCACCCAGTGTGGCCCAAACCAGATGGAAATGTTATGGGAAATAAGTAGCAAAATAAATAAAAATACAATAAAACATAGATAACATTACTTTTAAAGTTAAGTCAACTTATGGCCCACAGGGACTCTTTTGTATGTATTAGTGGCCCTTATTTCTATCCAAGTTTTGAGTTTGACATATCTGATGTGAAGGATAGCTCAGAGAGAAGAGGTTTGTGGCAGGGAGAAGCAAAGAGGAGGCAGTCGTACTAGTCCAGGTGAGGTGATCCTGGCTTGATCTGGTGCGATGTCCATGTGACCTATGTAAGAGCTTTTGTGGAAGAAGAAATAACAAGATTTAGCACCTGATTGGCTATGCAGAGGGAGGAGGTGAGGCTGGGAACTTGGGTAAGTAGAAATATGGTGTCTTCGCCAAAAATAGGGCAGTTCAAAAGAGGGCTGGGCAGAATAATATGATGAAAGCTGCAGTCGGTCACAACCCTCCACGCCTGCTAATCCTGTGGGACTCATGTGTGTCCCAGTGAAAATGCAAAGGGGATAGGCAGAGCTCTTTCCTGTCACTATCCTCAGTCACTATTCCAGAGTACTAGGCCTGCTCTGAGGGTGCCTACCCCACCATGGGATGTTCTGGAGGATGGTGAAGTAGCTATGCCAAGAGGAGCAGAAATTTCCCAGTAGCACCTGTGCAGTTGCCATGGGTGCCCATAGAGTGGTTGAAGTTATAATTTCTGAGGGACCCATATCGCCTGATAGGCAGAGGGATGAGTGGTGTGGGTGAAGTTTGGACGATATGGATAGGTGTGGTCGTGTTGGAGACGAGCCTTACAGTTGTCTCTCATGGAGTGGGTGGGGTGTGACCCATTTTCACACCCTTTGATTTACTGATCACATCAGACTATAGTCCCAACTAGTGAGATCCCAACTCAGTAGTATGACCTTGAGCCCCCGCCTTCTGGGCACACTCACCGCTTTGTCATTGGCTGCCCTAAATGGGCGCCCAGAACAGCACAGTAGTCCTCCAGCTGAGAGCTGATCAGGGGTAGCCCGTGGAATTGAATCAGACCAGGAATTAAGATCCTATAGTTACTGTCGTTGACTGAGATGGTTTCAGTACCCAAAAGTGGAGTCTGTGTCTGTCATCTGGCTTTAAACATGCTAAGATTAATAACAAATTAACATGAAAACAATGTTTAATCATCAGTACTTTGTACTTGCCCTCTCTCCAGCTAAATCCTGAAATGACTAAAACCAGCAGTCATTTAAAATCATATGATGTGCATTCTTATCACAGTTTAGTGGCTGTTTACAATGCCAAATAGATCGAGTGCATTCATTTATGAAAGGTCTTATGTATTTTTAAAAACAAGCAAAGGTACTATTATAATTCAGTGTTCTTGATTTGTAGTCTTCTAAGGAAATGGTTTTCAGTGACAATGTAATATATCTCTTCCTATTGTTCCTTTTTGCATTGGAAAGAATCTTAACATATGTTATAGGTATTTCATTACTGGAGAATGATATCCTTAAATAGTGTTATTTCCTTTATTTATAAAGTTAGCCAAATGAAGAATGTTTTTGTATTAATCGTACTTCAGAAAATATTGAAGGATTAAACTAAATACATTCTTCCTTCTTCCTTCTTTCTTCACTTCCCCATCCCCACAGTGGAAACAAGGCAAACTTTACAGGTCCTCTTGTGCCCATGTTACCTATCTTTGTTCCAGAGGACCCCAGGCCAAATCTGTGAGTGCTCAAGATACAGTAGCAGCAGGTTTGGTTCTGAAACTTCTAGAGGTGCTTTGTGCTGATGTGATTTCAAGAGTTGTTTTGCAAATAATTGAACTGTTAAAATTGTTCAAGATGGTGATGGAACCAGCAGAAAAACCTTTCTGAAATCTGGTCTCCGTGGCATTGCCTTGATCTTTCTTCTGTCAGTAATCACAGGCAGCTCATTTTATTGGATTTCACACTAAACTTGTTATAGTCACAGTCACATTTTAGATGTACTTGAATTGCCTTTGACTGTTTCAGCTAATAGTGTCATACACTTTCTGTGTAATGGTGAAGAAACAAAACAGGTGGCTGGGGATAATTAGAATTGGAATTTAGCTCTCACCTTCAGTTCTCCTGACTTAAAAAAAGAAAGAGGAAAGGAAGAGTGTGTTAATCACTGAATAACCTGCACAGCTGCTAGCTCACCAGTTGTGTTCCTGCTTAGAATTAAGGGAGCAGTCCCAAACTTTGGGCTGGAGTGACTTTATTTGAACAGTTTATCACTCTCCTTTGTATTGTGTTCACTTTCTTTGATGGATGGTCTTAACTATTAAATGTGCTTGGACAGAGTTTGTGATCTGTGCTCCGATTCTGCAGCAGAACCAATGGCAGATTATGATTGCTTTTCCATATCCAGTTAGAATGGAAAGAAATTTGACTAAGTATTAGGATGAAATTGATTCATAAGCTTTTGATTCTGTTGTGAGCTCTTAAATATAAAAGGTTCACGTAATGATTCCTGCTCAGAATATTATTTTCAATCCAAAGAAAAAAATATTTCATTATATGACAGTTTTGTCTGTTATTTTTATCACCAGTTCATACCAATGGCCCGATGGTGCTGTCTTACCAGTTAGCATTAGCTTTCTGGTCATGTTCTGCCAATAGCCAGATGGTGTAGGAATATGTTTTTCTTTCACCTAATTTAAATGGAGTTGATTATCCATATATTACAGGGACTTTAGTTTTGGAGAATAATTAGTAGAGACTGATTAGGGAGATATATCTGGGAATCTTGTTTAAATACATGAGCATTGATCGTGGCATGTGTGGAATTGTTTACAATTTGGATTTTTGGTTGAGATGCTGTTCTCCTTTCTTACCTTATTTGATTTTTGTTAGTTTACACTAAACTCTTGGCTGTCTGGGGCATTTAGAAGGTATTTGTAGAATTCATAAGGTAAAAAAAGTGTTGATGAGTTTCACTTTACCTCTTAATGATAGATTTCAAGTCTTGCCTCTCATACATACTTACTGTGTGACTGGATCACTTAAGCTCTCAGTGACCCAGGCAATTCCCTAAAACAAAGTTACAGAGGAATAGTCAATCTGTATTAGAGGACAGAGTTTCTACACCAATGAAATCACACTGCAGGTTCCTGTCTCCCCTCACCACCACCCACAATGATATTCTTTGGTCTAATAACTTTCTTCTTCCTGCCACTATTTTGATTTTCAACTTTATTATGTATTTGTAGAAGATCAGTAACTGTATTATGCGTACATGTAATATTACAAATACTGAATTATTCATTTTTAAGCATTTTAAGCATAAATCTGTACATAAAAAGGTAAAGATTAGAATTTTTACTAATTAGAACCATCTAAGCCAAATACTTAACCAATGAGACAAATTCATTTAAAATAATTGCCTTTCTGAAGATTGGAGTAAATAATTTGCCTGAAGTTATACCAGAAATAGATGCAGGTCTGCCAATTAACTTTAACCAAAGGTTTTGTATTTTGACTTGCAGGAATCCTAGGAGATGCTTTAGTGATGGGATGGACTAGTTCAAATGATAGTTATGCACTCTCCACATTAATTGCCACGTCCTCACCCTGACCAAAGAGAGAGCCTGGGCTGGGGGAGAAGGGAAGACGGTCGCCATGAAGCTGAAACAGCGAGCTGTCCTACTGGTCATCCTCCTTGTCATCTTTATCTTTACAAAAGTTTTCCTTATTGACAACTTGGACACTTCAGCTGCTAACCGTGAGGACCAGCGGGCCTTTCACCGAATGATGGCCAGCCTGCAGGTGGAGCTGGATCCTCGCCTGGAGCACACATTGCAGTCTCCTTGGGAGATTGCTGCTCAGTGGGTAGTTCCCCGGGAAGTGTACCCAGAAGAGACCCCTGAGCTGGGGGCCATCATGCATGCTATGGCCACCAAGAAGATTGTTAAGGCTGATGTGGGTTACAAGGGAACTCAGCTCAAAGCCTTATTGATACTCGAAGGGGGACAGAAAGTTGTCTTCAAACCTAAGCGGTGAGTCTTTGTCAAGGCAACACGTGGAACCCAGTTGTTGCACCTTCTGTAAGCCATGCATCTGTGGATGTAGCAAGCTCTCTTTACCTCATTTTCTTTATTTCTAAAAGGAAAGCTTTGGACTAGGTGACCTAAGACCCCTTCTAAGCTTTTAAAACTCAAGGGTCCTGGGGTTTTATCTCCCATTTTAAGGAAAAAAGCTAAGCCATGCAGCTAGCACCCAAATGACTTACTAAGCTATGGGATAAAACTAAGATAAATAAAAACATAAATAATAAATATGACAATATAAATATTAAAATAAGTATAAGATAAAACTAAGATAAAAATTGAGACGTGGAATGGTTGACAGTGACACCTTCTGGCTTATGTTGGGAATAGCAAGAATGATTTCCAAGGACGTTTATGGCTTTATTAGCCAAAGCTTAGGGCCTTGTCATAAAATAGTATACAGTTAAAGGGGACATATTTGTCACTATGTGTGAACTTGAACTATGGCTAGTTCCTAATTGGTATGAATCATGAACCTCCTATAGTGGTTGAATGTATTTGATTTCACACTAGTCAAAGATAATGATGTAAAATATGGTCTTTGGTTCCAACCTAGTGGAAAGCTACAGTTCAAACAATGGGACTGCGGTAGGGAATTCATTATTCCCAGTAATAGGGACCTAGCTGTAATATGGACTGCTAGGGTATGTATGTGCTTTTTTACCAGTAAGACCAATGAAATCCCTCAAAATCTATGGTATCCTCAGAGTACTTTCTCATATTGAGGACACTTTCCAATCCCATGGTGCTAGCTTTTGAGAGAAGTGTGATGTATTTTGCAGTTTGAAAGGACAAGATATGGGAGCAAAGGAACATTAAGGAGCATTAAACCTGATCCCTGTGGCAGACAGACACAATGCAGCTGAAGGGCCTGATGGAGCCTGAGGCAGAGGGGGGACACCTGCCCCTCCAACAGCTGGGGAGTGCAGAGTACAGTAAGGAAGTAACTGAGAGGTGAAGGGATGTCAGCTGGCATTTAAAGTTTTGTGTTTGGCAGCTAGTGAGGGTGCAAAGGAAAATGACACAGAACTAAGAAACTTTGGAGCTGGAAGGAAGCTTAGAGATCATCTGATACAATCTTCTCATTTTATAGATGAGTAAACCAAGACCCAGAGAAACCCAGTTAGTTCCCTTTCTACTCGACTATGCAGGAAATATATCTATTAAATTTGTTTTTCTCTCTAATATAGGAATTCCTCCAAAGGTACTAAGCAGGTACTTTGCAAAGCCAGTGGGAATTGTATAGAATCAGTTCTACTCCCTGACAGTCTGAGAGACTGTGCTGAAGGAGGGTCTACAAAAAGTGAAATTATGTGTGTGGAGGAAAGGAAACAAGTGGATTGCATACATTCAGACAAGAGGGGATGGCCAAGTGGAAGACTTTGTGTCTTGCCACGTCTTGTGTAGATTTTGAGAGTAAGATGCAGTATGAGTGAAGACTTGCAATAATTAGATGTGAATTTACCTGAGAGGAGAAAACAAATTAGTGATTAGGAGAGATAGCAGTAGGTTTAACATGCACTGGTGGGCCAAAACCAAAGACTGGCCAAGACCCTGCCTTCTTGTGATCTTTTAAATGCCCAAGTCAAGACATATAGCACACCTTTGGACCCTAACTACAGCAGCACTCCTATTTCAACTAATCCTTCCTACATGTTATAGTCAAAATAATCCTCCCCAAACACAAACTAATCTCTCTACTGCCCCTACTCAGAAAATTTCAGTGACTCTGGTTAATCAGAGCAGCTAAGTGATAATGGATAGAGTACTGAACCTGCAGTCAGGAAAACCTGAATTAAAATCCAGCCTCAGAAACAAGTCACTTAACCTCTGTTTGCCTAAGTTTCCTCATCTGTAAACTGGAAATAATAATAGTACCTACTTTCAGGGTTGTTGTGAGAATCAAATGAGATAATATTTGTAAATTGCTTAGCACAGAGCCTGGTATATTTTAGGCATTATATAAATGCTAGTTGTTATTCATTTCTGAACAGACTACAATCTAGTCCCACCTCATCCAACTTTTATTTTTTTCCTCTGAACGTAGTGGGTCTGCTCCCACTTCTAAACCTCTGCCTTCCTATACAATCAGGATGGTTTGCTACTAACTTGGAAAACTGAGCACCAGTTGGCTCTTAATTAGGTGGGTCTCCATATGCAGGAGATTTGGTGAACTAAGGAAAGTGGAGGCTTGTGAAGTACTTATAGACTTTGGTTGCTCTCCTTGAACGGCCAGTAAATTGTCATTCTGACGCCTAGTGCTTCAGAAACTGGTTCATCCCTGGTGTGAGAGCAGATTAATGACCTGAATTAGGCTCTGACGTTCTTTCCCAGAAGAATGAGGGTAATATAGTGGCAGTTATGGGATGAACTCTGCTGTTCTGTCAGTGACTTAAGATGAATAACTCTGTGCTGAGAGGATTGGGGCCCTCAGCACCATCACACAAAGAAGCCTGTCTCTCTTCAGGTCACCAGTGATGTTGCTTTATAACTCTATTTGGAGGGCCAGGTTCCTGATTTCCTGATGTTCTAGCAGTAGAGTCTGTTTGTTAAAGGCAAAATGTCAAAACACAGCCCCCTTTTTTTCCTCAGGCATTGCCTTAACTATAGAGGAGCTTTCTGAGTCTCTGAATCCACAGCAGGGAAGCAGTGATTCTCTGTAAGCACTAATGGTAGCCATGGAAGGTAGTGTGGTGTAATGGATGGGGAGCTGGAATGAAAGCAAAAAGGCCAAAGTTCAAGTCCTGCCTTTGATATACACCCTGCCTGAGTGACCCGGAACAAGTCACTTAGTCATGGTCAGTGCTCAAGGCAATTCTTGAAGATGAGAAGGTGCTGGCCTGCACTGGTAAGGGGAGTTTCCTGACCTGAGACGTAGACCTGCCAATGGAATCACAGGCCCAGTCCTGATTCCTGTCCCATAATTGTAGCTATACTATAGAAGGAAGACACTAAAAGGTGGCTCAGAATTGGGCTGTGGTCTGTGTTTGAGGCAAAGAGAGAAAATGTCACAATATTTGGTTGCTTCCATCCTTCCCACCCAAGCCCACCCAAGTGGATTTCTAGTAAGAGTTTACACTTCAGGCAACTTTAGAGCAGTCAGAGGGCTCTCTGATCTTTCATCAAAAGAAATGCACTGTAGCTCTCAGCATGCCTTCCTGTGGTTGGTTAGAGCTCTGCTCAGTGAAGTATTCAGGCTCTGGCCCCTCTCCCCCAGGCAGAGCAGGCTGCCCTTCAGGTGGGGTGGGTGTGGGTACTGCCTAACCAGATGCACTGTCTGCTCTGAACTCTGTTCTTCCTGAGAGGAATTGATCCCTAACTCCAAGGCAGTGCATGCTTTTTTTGTTTCTGTGCTTGTTTTTTGTTTTTTGTTTTTTTTTTTGACTAGGCAGTAGGGTTAAGTGACTTGCCCAGGGTCATACAGCTAGTAAGTGTTATGTGTCTGAGGCTAGATTTGAACTCAGATCCTCCAGACTTCAGGGCCGGTGCTTTATCCACTGCACCACCTGGCGCCCCTTGTGTGCTTGTTTTGAAGCATAAATGTTTAACTACTTTGCCTTGAAGGTGGGCTTTGGTGTCTGTTTTTGCACTGTATATACCACATCTATGCCAGTTACAAGAATCTGCTTTCGTGGTCCTCTGTGCACCTCATCTCTCTGCTTCCCCACAGTTGTCTCTGCATTGGAGGTGAGAGGGTACGAAGGGGAGCCGTGGCAGCTTACTTCTGTCTCAGTGTTTCTTTGTTTCCCAGTTCCTAAGTGAGGCCTTCAAAGTCCACTTCCAATTTAGGAAATGTGGGGAAGGTGAGCAGTAAAGATGGTAGGCAGTTACAGATTTCCATTATACTTCTCTTGTACTAGGGAGAAGGGAGTGTACAGAATGTCTCTTCTCTCTGTTTATTTAGTTCCATTCATAGGATGCCTCTGTCAAGATGACCGTAAGAACCCAGGATCAGAGAACCAAAGAACTAGAAAATGCTTTAAAAATCATTTAGCCCAACCCCCACGTTTTACAGATGAAGAAACTGAAGCACAGGAAATTTACAGTTTCTCCAAGTTGACATAATTAGGTAGTGGCAGAGCCAGGATGGGAATCCAGGACTCCTAACTCTGGTCCAGCATCCCTACTACTAGACAACATTTCCTGGAGTAGGTCTGAGAGAGGGAGAGAGCAAAAAAAAGCAAGTTTACTGCCAGGCATCTGAGAGTAAATTGAGGAGACTCTGTGCTACATTTACTCCATAAATTTTGTCTTCTTAGAAACCTGGGCAGTGGGGTATTTGTACTAGATAGGCAAAACTTTGCCTTACCAGCATAATCACTAATGGCAGTCCCTTATAGGAAATAAAGGCGTCATTAGTTCTCCAGTTAATAAATGGCCAAAGGATATGAACAATCTTCAGAAATATTGCAAACTATAAATGACTGCAAAAAGACACGCCCCCCAACTCCCTAATAGTAAAACAAATTCAAATTAAAATAACTCGGGAAGTTTCATCTCATACCATTTGCAAATTGGCAAAGATGGCAAAAAATAGAAACAGTCAGTGTTACAGGGACTCTGGAAAAACAGGCAGACTAGTGGATTGCTGGTGGAGCTCTAAATTAGACATTAATTTGGAACTACACAAGAGAAATGAGTAGCCTGTCCATACCTTTGACCTAATAATTCCACTACTGGGCCAATACCTCCAAGGAAGTAAAAGATGGAAACAAAGGTCCAACATATACAAAAATATCAGTGGCAGCACTCTTTATGGTAACATAAAACTAGAATCAATTGGGAAATGACTGAAAATCTATGCTATATGAATGTAATGTAATACTATTGTACCGATATTAGGATTTCAAGAGGTATAGGAAGATTTGTCTTAACAGATAGAAAATTAAATAAACAGAGCCAAGACAGCAATATCAGCAATAACTGCCAGAGTAGGAATGAAAACATCACTAAAAGGAAGCTGAAGTCTGGGTAATCAGAAAACCAGTGAAGGTCCCAAAGAGCAGATAATGGAACATAACTTCCCTCACATGAAAGAGACAAGGCAAATGACTTGCGACAAAGTATCGTTTTTATTTCCAATGAGGTCACTGGATTGGATATTTTTCTTAATTGTTTTTCTTTGTCACAAGAGAGTTTCCCTAGGTGGTTGAGGAGGAGGGCTGAAACGACTTTGATGTAAATACTAATGGCCTTAATAAAATGTAATTTAAAAAGAAATAAGATGTCTTATCCTGGGGAGTGACTGTGGAGGCCTTCTCTGATGCTGCCATCCTGTAGCAATGCATGAAGATCCTGAATTGTTCCAAGGGTTGACCAAAGCACAGTCTATGGGACAAATCTGGACTGGATGGGATTCACCTCCTGCCTCTCTGCTTGGGCCTGTCTTTTGCAGGTATAGCCGAGACTACGTGGTCGAAGGGGAGCCATATGCTGGTTATGACAGGCACAATGCAGAAGTTGCAGCCTTTCACTTGGACAGGTAAATGACTAGGTTTTTACATACGCTTGGGATTTTTTCTTTTAATCTTTCTCTCTTAGAAAGCAGTTGCAGAAGTTTTCCTGAAGCATGTTACTCCAATAATTTTGGCTTAATTCTCAGTTCATTCTAAATGAATAGGATCCTATTGATTTTGCATTGTTCACATCTGCATGACAACATTGGTTTCCAAGTGAATATTCTGACTCATGTGAACCGTTTCAGTTCCTGGTAAGGCCTTTGTTGATTATCAAGAAATTATGATATATAATTGCTAGATTTATTTATAAGAACTAGATACTGACCAAGGAAGGTTTTCCTTTCCAGATAACGGCCCAGCAAAATCGGAAGTCCAAGGTTAAGCCAAAATAGCATATTTGAGCTAGTTATTAAATGAAAATATAACATTGCAGATTTCTAGCTTGAAGGTCCTGTTTTTTGGTATTAGAACAAGTAATAATGGCTTTACTCCATGTTTCGAAACATAAATTGTGACACGTTTATGAGTCTCTGACATCTCAACAAAAAATCCTAAGCTGGATTGAAACTAAGAAGAGTGCATTTGCTATATTGCCAGTCTTGGAAAAAATAAATTAACAGTCTTCAGTCTTTTCAACCAAAGAGTAATGGCTCCATTGCCATTAGAGAAAAATCCCTTTTCAAATATTAGGAGACTTGAAGTGAGTTGTTCTTTGGGATTTTAGTTTCAGGCAAACTTACTGTAATTTTTACTTAGTGAAATAGCCCTCACTGGAAGTTTTGTACACATGTTTGTGAATCTAAAAGTGTCCTTCAAAATACTTTACTAACGGCTTGCTTTTTCTTCTTTCTTTCTTGATAGAATCTTAGGTTTCCGCCGTGCCCCCTTAGTGGTTGGGAGATTTGTGAATCTTCGAACTGAGATCAAGCCTGTTGCTACAGAGCAGTTACTGAGCACATTCTTAATTCTTGGTAAGGAAATTCAAAGAAATATTTAAATAGGGGAGTATTTAACTTAGTGACTAGGAATGGAATAGACTAGATCATTCCTCTTATCAATCTAACAGTAAGGAGTGGGCCCTCTGTGCTTATAGACCACATCTGGATGATGACGTTCATTTCTGGGCATCACATCTGAAAAGCAATTGTCAAAATAGGTTATGGCCAGGTGAGAATGATGAGGATGGTGATGAATCACAAAATTTTAGAGTTGGAAGGAATTACCAGAAAGAATCCCCCCTCTTCATACCTGCCAAATGATCATCCAGCCTTTGTTTGAAGCCCTCCAGTGACATGGGATTCACCACCTCCAAACACAGTACATGTTACTTAAGGAGTCTGGACTCTGTCGTGTGAGGAATAGTTGAAGGAGCTGGGTATCCCTACCTAACCCTGAGAAGAGACGACTAAAAGTAGATGTGAGAGCTGTCTTCAAAGGCACGAAGCGCCGTTTGTTTTGTTGTTCAGTCAGCAGAAAGTGCAAAGAGGCCATTTTACATCAGCATAAGGATTTTGTAATGACGCCGTCTGATACATGTAATGAGCTTCGGTCAGAAGTCCTGAGCTCCTGTTCAGCCCTTGAGACATTCAGGTAGAGTTTAGGTTCCCATTTGAGAGAGGAGGGGAAGTGTGGGAAGGTGTGGGAAGGTGAACCAGATTATCTCTAAGCTTCCCTTGAGCTCAACTTTATAAGGCTCTAACCTTAATTTACTTCTTTCTAAATTGTTTTATCCAAAAACCCACCAGATTTCCTTTTAACTGTGTTTTCTGTTGTCCAGTTAAAGTGTTCCTCTTGCTGTTCCTCATACGCACAGCTCCCTCCTACCTCCCCGTGTTTGCACTGGCATTTTTCCACGCTCACACTGCCCCTCTATTTCTTAGATTCCCTTGTTTCTCTCAAAACTATGCTCAAGCAATTTCTACATGAAACCCGTCCTGATTACCCAGCAGCCGATGCCCTTGCCCTAAAATGTATCTTATACGTCTTTTGTGTGTACGTGGCATCTCCCCCAAATAAGGTCTGATCCTTCAAGGCAGGGACTATTTCATTTTTATCTTTGGATCTCCAGCATCTAGGACAGTGCCTGGCACAAAGTCAACATTTACTAAATGCTTATTGCTTGATTGTGTATTCTACGTGTAACCAAAAGCACACAGCGTCACTGACTTGTCTCAGACATTTTGTTCTACTTAGTTGGTAGTAACAAGATTGCTAACCTCAATCCAGGTATTTCTAATGCCTATATAGGAATAACAGGTAGAGGTTTAGACATGCAGTCGGGAGGATCTGGGTTCAAGTCGAGCCGCTGACATCTGGCTTTGTGACCATGGGAGTTATTTCACCACTCGATCCCTCTGTCAACTCTAATGTTGTAAATTACTGATCTATCTAACACTGTTAAGTTATAGAGGAGTTGCTGATCTGCATCTGTGAAAGGACTGTCCACACCTGGATTTCCCAAAACTGATGGAAGTCACGAGTCTGGACCAAAAAAATGCTATGAATAATTCTGCAAAATGGACTTTTTTAGGGAAGTAATCGTTCAAGCCAAGGGCAGAAGTATTATCCAAGTGCGGTGTCACACAAAGAATTTGTTCCCTGAATGAAGCATTGAGTTGATCAGTCTCTCCCAGAGATTTGTTGTTTTCTCAGGCATCAGTAAGTGATCTTGTGTCTTAAAGCCTGGGGTCTGGTGGGGTAGAATGCCCTTTTATTTCTATAATCCCAAACTATTTCTTCTGCTCTTTGGATAGTAATGCAGCCCTCTAAGAATGTATATATTTTCATAGCATCCTCAGTCTTCTGATTGAAGCCTTATTGTAAAGTTTCCTTTGGGGAATTTCTAATTCTTAAATGATGGAATAATTGAAGACCATTGGCAATTGATTAACTCTTTTGTTAAACAGAAGGTTTATGCAGAGCACTGAGAGGTGAGAATAAGGACAAGTAAAAACACTGTTTCTGCCCTTAAGCAGCTTGAAATCTAGAGGGGAGATATAAGACACCCACTAATAATGACAGTACAAGGTGGTTTGTGCTAAGAGTAGGTGTTAAGAGTAGGAGCTCACATTTATCTGGTGCTTTCAGGTTTTCAAAGAGGAGTATATTGTATGAAAGGGGTCCAGAGGAATAAGAAATAACTTTTACTTTTGGTGTTCAAGGAAGGCTTCATGGAGGAGGTGGCATCTGAACTAAGCCTTGAAATAGAAGTAGGAGTTTCCTAGGCAGAGATGGAAGAGAGGCAGGGTGATCTAGGCAGAAGATTTAGAATAAGCACAGGGATGGGAAAGGGCAAAATGTTTTCAGGAAATGGCCTGGAGTCCAGTCTGACTAAATTGTGGAGTCTGAGCGAATAGTAGGAGAAAAGGCTTGGAAGATAGGATTGTGGAGGATGCTGAACACCAGGTCAAGCACACTGTACTTCAATCTGTAAGTAGTAAAGGCCATTGAAGGTTTTTGATCAAGGGAGTAAGAGATTCAGAGTATACTGTGTGAAGAGAAATATGGTGGCGATGGCATTGGCAATGCCATTGGCAGGCTGGATTGGATTGAGGAAAATAAGTCAAAAAGCTATTTTAATGGTTCGGGCATGAAGTAATCCCAGAACCTTGGGGGATGGGAGCAGGAGGAGCTAGCAAAAGAATCACAAAAAGAAAGTGTTCAGAGAAGTTGCTGGTCGACGAGGAGTCGACAGGAGCATTCATTGTCACAGAGCTTTAGAAGTGGAGCGGTGATGATCAACAGTGTCGAGCTGTGCAAGGCATTTATGCTGTGTGCCAAGGCTACAGAGAAGGTAAAAGACCAGATCTCACCGCTCAAGAAGTAGGTAGTCTAGGCAGAGAGAGGACACATACATGATAGACAGGCATGTACCGTATAACATTGCCCCAGCCAATGCCATTTAAATTTTTAAAAACTTATCATTTTTATCATTTATCTTTTTTATAACACCTTCGTTTCTAAATATGCTTCTCTCCCTTCCACTACCCAGAAAACCATCTTTTGTAACAAAGAATTTTTAAAAGTTTTTTTTTAAGGCAATTGGGGTTAAGTGACTTGCCCAGGGTCACACAGCTAGTAAGTGTCAAGTGTTTGGTCTGAGGCCGTATTTGAACTCGGGTCCTCCTGACTTCAGAGCCGGTGCTGTATCCACTGTGCCACCTAGCTGCCCCAAAAGTTATTTTTAACAAGCCCTTATTGTCTCTCCTATCCCCCTCTATGAAAATGTTTTATAGTAAGAAATATAGACAACCCAGCAAAACCTATTTCCACATTGGCCATGTTCAAAAATCTATGTTTCATTCTGCATTTTAAGTCTAGTAACCTCTGGCAGGAAGTGGGTAGCTTGCTTCATCTTCGGTCCTCTGGCCTCACGGTTTGCCATTAAGTTGATTAGAGTTTTAATGTCTTTCAAAGTTCTTTTCCTCTGTAATGTTGTTATTATTGCATAGATTTTTTTTTTTTGCCTAGTTCTGCTCACTTCACTGCATCACATAGAGGTCTTCCCTATTTCATCATTTCTTTTGGTACAATAATATTCTGTTCTATTCGTATACCACAGTTTGTTTAGCTGTTTCCCAAAAGATGGACACTGCCCCCCCCCCCCCTTAGTTTCCAGTTTGGGACCACTATGGAAAGTATTCTATAAATATTTTTGTGCATACGTCCTTTTCTTCATTCTCTGATTACTTTGGGGCAGAAGCGTAGTAGTAATTTACCTGGGATTTACACACTTTAGCTTCCCTACACCCCTGGCCAGTATGAGCATAGTTCCAAAGTGCTTTTCAGAATGCCTGGACCAGTTCACAGCTCAGCCAATAGTGCATCAATGCGCCTGTTTCCCCATAGCTCCTCCAGCATTTGTCATTTTCCTCTTCTTTGCCAATTTGATGAGTGTGAAGTACATTTACTTAGTAATTAATGATTTGAAACATTTTATCGTGTGATTATTTAATAGTTTTGATTTCTTCTTTTGAAAAATTTGTGTTCATATCCTTTGGTAATTTATCAGTTAGGAAATGGCTTGTGGTGTTATAAATGTGAGTTAATTCCTTATATATCATGAATAGGAGACCTTTATCAGAGAAATTTGCTGCAAAGGTTTTTCCTAATTACCTGTTTCCCTTCTAATTTTAACTGTATTAGATTTGTTTGTGCAAAAACTTTTCCCTTTTATATAATCAAAATTGCCATTCTATCTTCTTTGGTTTTCACTATTGTTTAGTTGTGAACTCTTCCCCTGACTAATGATCTCAAAGGTAATTTCCTTACCCTTCCAATTTGCTAATGATGTTGCCTTTCATGTCTAAATTATGTATTCATTTGAAGTTTATCTTGTTACATAGGGTGTTGGCCTATATCTAATTTATACTGAATTGCTTTCCACTTTTCAAAAAAAAAATTAGTTCAGCAAAACTAAGCAACATATCATTTGATTCTGATAGTGTATGAAATATTCCACATCCATAGTCTGCTACCTCTGCAAAGAAAGGAGAGAGATGTATTTTGTAAACTCTTCTAGGGCCATACTTCTTGGTCATTATAATTACATAGCATAGAGCCTGGGTTTTGTTTTTTGTTTTTTGTCCTTTTCATTCACATTATTTTAGTTTCTGTATATATTATTTTCCTGTTTTTGCCTAATTTGCCCTGCATCAGTTCACATAGGTCTTCCTATACTTTTCTGAACTCTTCATATTCATCATTTCTCATGGCATAGTTTCCGTTTATATTCCTATGCCACAAATTGTCAATTTGTTTGGTTCTTCCCTAATCACTGGGCACCTACTTTGTTTTTTAGCTCTTTGCTACTACTAAAAGTATTACTGTAAACACTTTGATGTATACAAAAAAGCTATATACTTCCTTTTTTTTTTTTAATTTGTTTTTTGTATACTTCCTTTCATTGGCCTCCTTGGAGTGGATGCCTATCAGTGGGATCTTGCTCTGGACATTTTAATTGCTTTTTTTTTTTTTTTTTTTCAAATCGAATTCCAAGTTGTTTTCTAGAATGGGCAGGACCAGCTCATATTTCCATCAAGACTGTAGTGTGTATTAGTCTTTTCACAGCTCCTCCAGCATCGACAAGCATAGTTCCATTTTTTGTCATCTTTTGCTAGTTTGGTAGGGATGAGGGAAAACCTCAAGTTGTTGTAATATGTATTTTATCATTGATTTGGAATAATCTTCAATATTATTAATCATTAACAGTTTGCAAATCCTTTTGAGAATTGTTTGTTTATAACTTTTTTTTCTTTTGTCCATTGAGTAATAATAACCAATGTTATTTTGCATGAAATTCCCACTGGAAAATCAATCTAAAGAGGAGAGGAAATTCAAAGACAAGAAACTCCTTTTCTTTTTCGTCTTCTCTTTATACTTTTTCTTTAAAGATCTCTTCTATTCCCATGGTTTCAACTATTGCCTTTGTATAGGTCACACCCAAATCTCTGTCTTTATCAGTCCCACATATTTACATTTGCATGTCCATTTGATATTTCATACTCAGTTTACCTAAAATCAAATTAAGCTTCCCCACCCACAACACCTTTTCCTGAATAACCTGTTTCTGTTAATTTCATATTATTTTCCAGATAGTAGGCTTTGAAAACTTTACTGTCATCTCTATCTTCTCCCTCTCCCTCTGTTTTCACATTCTATCGATAGCTCAGTCATGACAGCTCTTAGAAATTGCCTATCTCCATTCCTTATGGGCCTCTTAATGTAGGTCTTTTTAAAAAAGACCCTTTCCTCTTCTTATTCTTTAATCTCTATTGTCCAAAGTAGGAAATGGTCTGAAGTAGAATTTTCTTCCTTATTTCTTCCTTTTCTTTTCTCTCCTTTCCCTCTTTTCCCTTCCCTTTTCCCCTTTCTTCCCTCTTTCTTTACTTCTTCCTTTCCTCCCTTCCCTTCTTTCCTTTTTCTGTTCCTCTCTCTTCCCTCCTTTCCTTTTCCCTTCCATCTCCCTCCATCTCCATCTCATTGGTGAGAGGTAGTGTTATACAATGGAAAGAGCATTAAGCTGGAAGTCTAAAGGAAGATTTTTCTCTCTCTCTTTCATCCCTTCTTCCCTGGCTAGTACTGTTCCCAAAACTTACTGCCACCTGTAATACTGTTTGTTCTACCAGGGATGGGGGAACCTGTAGCCTTGAGGCCATGTGTGGCCTCTAGGTCCTCAAGTGCTGCCCTTTGACTGAATCCGAACTTCACAGAATAGATCCCCTTAGTAAAAGGATTTATTCTGCAAAACTTGGACTCAGTCAAAAGGCCGCACCCAAGGACCTAGAAGGCCACATGTGGCTTTGAGGCCGCAGGTTCCCCACCCCTGACCTAACCTGTATGTTCATTTGTTTTGTGAAATCAATTGACAGCGTATATTTGTATTTTATAATATACGATGGTTAAGTAAGCCTTTGAAGTACATTTTCAACAGACATTGAACTCCTGCTCTGTACATGGCAGTGGGTTTGATATTTGACCTATTTGGCAGTCATGTATTATGAAAAGGACAAAGTTTATTTGTCTTTAAACCAAATGAAAGGAGTTCAGGACCTCTGTTCATATCACGGAGCTATCTTATGATGTTTTTTGTGGGGTGACTTTGAGGTTTTTCATTTCTCCCACATTATATTTGGCCTTTTTCTCTCTCTAAGGTAACAACACTTGCTTTTACGGGAAGTGTTATTATTGCCGAGAAACAGAGCCCGCCTGTGCGGATGGAGACCTAATGGAGGGGTCTGTTACCCTGTGGCTTCCAGATGTCTGGCCTCTGCAGAAGCACCGACACCCATGGGGCAGGACTTACAGGGAGGGGAAGCTTGCCAGGTAAAATGACTAGAGCTTGGGGGCAGGCTGCTAATTAATTCCATCTTGGGGCTTAGTCTGGTACCCTGCTGCCTTGTAAGCTTCTGGTGTTGAGAGGCTCAGAAGGGCTGTGGCAGCCAGGTGTGAGCCTGCCGGGCAGGGACTCTGGCTTCTCTTTGTTTTGAACAGTGCCAAGCACAGTGTTGACGCTCAGTAAATAACCCTGGTGATGCTGCCTGCCTCCAGGTGGGAGTACGACGATAGCTACTGTGACGCTGTGAAGAAGACGTCTCCCTATGACTCCGGCCCCCGACTCCTGGATATTGTGGACACTGCTGTCTTTGATTATCTGATCGGCAACGCTGACCGTCATCACTATGAGAGCTTTCAGGATGATGAGGGCGCTAGCATGCTTATTCTCTTGGATAATGCCAAAAGGTACGTATGGGTCATGGTACCGTGTTTATGAGAGAGTGGCTCATGTGCCCAAGAAAGGAACCTAGACCAGAAAGGTCAAACACATGGCAACAAAATTTTATTGGGAAATGTTTAACAAAATAAGTAAAAATGCATAGATGATGTTAATTTGTGGTTTTCTAAGCCAATTTGCAGCCCACAAGGATGGTTTAGTGGCCCCATTTCTCTTTGAGTTTGGCACCACTGCCCTAGAGTTCTCTTTGTTTCTTTGTGTTTCACAGCAATATAATCATCTTAATGTCGTTTGAGTTAGGGCAGTCAGGGAAGATGGAAATAGGTGAGGTCTCCTTGGGAGTGCTAGGTAGAAGGGGACAGCAAAACCAGGAAAGCCCACTGGGTTTTTATAGTTTCTTCTCTGGGTCAAGTAGGATCAGACATTGGAGGACAGAGCAGGGGGCCTGGATCTGGTACTCAGTGGTGCTGATTCCTGCTGAGGGGAGTTCCTGAGGAATTGATGATATTCAGACTCCCTGCCGGTAGGAAAAGGGGCTTTTGACCATTACCACAAGCCTTTAGGGGTTTGAGCTTCTTCGAGATTTTCTGTTTAGTGGGACAGAGAGACTACTGAGGTCCTTACAGCAATGGGATGCTTTGAGCAATACAGAGGTCCTTTTCAACCCTGGAAATATTTAAGGGGAGTTTACTATATCTGTTGCTGTGATTTCAGATAGAGCCCCAAGTCCAAAAATCTCCAAACAGTAGATTGGGTTACTGGAAGATCTCAAGACTTTGCCTAGTAGAGTCTTTCCAGGTCTTAGGTTGGTGTTGCCGTGGACAGTGTGCTGGGCCTGCAGTGAGGGAATTCTGGGTTCAAATCTACTACTTGCCAGCTGTGTAACTCTGACAAGTCATTTAATCTCTCTCTGCCTCAGCTCCTGCAACTGAAAATGGTGATAATAACAGCACCTATCTCCCAGGGTTCTTGTGAGGCTCAAATGAGATCATGTTTGTAAAGTGTTTAGCACAGTGCCTGGAGCATAGTAGGGGCTTAATAAATCTTCCCTTCCTCCCACTTCCCTCCCTCACTCCCTCCCTTCCTTCTGTCCTCTTCTACTTTTCTTCTTTCCTTCCTTTTTCCTTCCCTCCTTTCTTTCCTTCCACTTTCTTCTTTCCTCCCTCCCTTCCTTCTTTCCTACCAAATGAGAGAATTCCCCTCGATGCAGGTCCCTTCCACTCTCGACCTGTGATCTTGTCCGCTCTAAGCTGCTTGCTGCTGCCGTATTCCCCTAGCCACCCCTCTCTATGGCAGGGGAAGTAAAACTGGAGGTAGTGTTCCCCATCTCACCCTGTCAGCACCCCTTCCTTCTCCCTGCTTACGTTCAGAAATGGCCTGCCATCTTTGCCCTTTCCAAACACTCAGACTCTCAGTGAAATGCGCAATAGCTCTTCCAAAGTTTGGGGGGCCTGCTTCTTCTCTTGACAGTGGGTCCAGGGCCATGCCAGGGGCGCTGGACAAGTTTGCAAAACTGAGGGTGCACTGGGCACTGACACTTCTTCAACCTCAGATTTCATTGTCCAAAGGTACAAATAATTTAACACCTGAGTTGTTCTCCATTTGGCTCTTGTCATGGCCTTCTTCATAGCCCTCTGGCAATCAGGAGAAGAAGGAAGACTGAGCCATGAGTATTTAACAGAAAAGCTGTTTCCATCCCTTTCTTTGGCTAGGAGATCTTTAGGGATAAAGAGAAGCTTGTTCTTACCCCCTTTTTTTTTTTTTTTTTTTTTTTTTTTGAAAGATTTGGGAGCGGAGCTGAGCCGTGTCTCCCACCGTTTCTGGGGCAGGGCCTCACATTTGGTGGTGGCAGCAATGAGATGTTTGGCACTCAGAACATAGCAGGTGCTACGTCACTGCTGCTGCTGGGGATACAGTGAAGCTGCTCCTTAAGAATGAATGCACAGCATTTGCCCACAGTGCCACCATCTTGTACAGAACACCAGGTGCCCTGCGCTCTGTGAAAGATGGTGGCAGCAGCCTAGAGTGGGGCTCACCAGCACTGCACAGTCAAGCCGGGCTAGAGTGGCCATATCCCTTGAAGCTTTCTGATACTTGCTTGGACCCTAATTATTTAGAGCAGAATTTTGCCTTGGAATCATCACTGTAGCCATTTTCTCCTTTTAAGACACAGATTATGCTGAGCACTGGTACAATGTGACCAGGGGCTTGTTCCATTTCCAGAGTGGAATGTGGAGAATGTTTCTAATGTGGTCACTCATTTCTGTCTTTAAGTTACCTGCCAAGACCATTTTAACACAAATGCTTGATGGGCAGTGAATCAGGGTCTCCTGTGCCTCTGTGAAACAGGGAGAACGCCAGTTTGGGAGAGGGAGTACACTAGCACGCAACAGGAGGGCTTTCCCATGTGTCATTTTGGTGGACAGTGAGGCAATCCTTTTTTTTTTTCCACTTAATAGTAACGTATAGATAGTTTTCAGTATTCACTTTTTACAAGATTTTGAATTCCAGATTTTTTTCTCTCTCCCCCCTTCCCTCCCTCCTCCCTAAGACAGCATGTACAATCATATTAAATGCATTTCCACATTAGTCACGTTGTGAAAGAAGAATTGGAACAAAAGGGAAAAACCGAGGCAATCCTTTGGAAACATGCTTGATTGTGAAACAGTCTGGAGGGAGCCTTTACTTTTCTCCTCCCCTTTCTTGGTAACTCCTTCGAACAACTGAAATTGAACCCCTCTCTCCCTCTCCTTTTTTTTTTTTTTTTTTTTTTTAACCCTCACCACTGTTTTAGAGTTATATCAGTCAATTACCTTGGTGCCTGAGCATCTTGGGAGATCTTGACAGGGTAAGGGAGCCTAGAAAGGGATTGTCATTTTTGTTTGTCAGATGCTCCAGAACTGGCCACTGGGGATCATGTGTCTGATTGGTCATGCCCTGTTTGTTTTTTAATTTAAGTGATTGGACCTGGTGTAGCATGAAATTATCTGGTACCAGTCTGGGGATTCTTTATAGAACTTGCAAAGGTTGGAAGGAGTGCAGGCTCTTCTGAAGCTAATTCACTGGGTTATAATTTATTTTTCAGCTTTGGAAACCCTACGCTGGATGAGAGAAGCATCCTCGCCCCTCTCTACCAGTGTTGCATGTGAGTTAAACATCCCTAAGATGAGGAGTGGCATTTCACACCCCTGGCACATTGACCCAGGCGGGACATAAGCCTCCTGAGCCACACTTCTGTGAGTCGCAGAAGTTTTAAGGCAAAGCTGAAGGCAATTTTACTTTCATAGTTTTCATGTTTGATATTTTTTTAAAGCATATTCATATTAGATCCTAAAAGAAAGTGGGTTGCTGGCTATAAAACCTTTTCCTAATTTGTCATTGCTAATTTGAATATTCAAGAGTATCTAGTAAGATTTCATTCGATAGAGGAGAATAATAATAATAATGATAGCTAACATTTCCATAGCATTTTAAGATTTGCAAAACATTTCATGTGTGTCACTGCATTTGATCCTAACAGAACCTGGGAAGCAGGTGCTCATGTGACCCCATTTTACAGATGAGGAAACTAGGCCCACGAGAGGTTCAGTGTCTTGCTCAGGGTCTCAGAGCTCGCTGGGACATGTCTGAAGCAGGATTGGGATTGAGTTTTTCCTGACTATAAACCCCACGTCCTCTCTATTGTACCGCCGGATGCCTCCCAGGGCAGACTCAGGAGTGTTACTGATGGTCAGCCTACTCCCTAAAACTCCCACAATCCACAGGACTGGATGCAGTAAGCAAGAAATCTTGTTTTTCTCCTTTAGATCAGGTTCATTAGCAGTTGACAGTGGAGTGTAGTTGGCTCTGGGTTTTCTGCAGATTGACCAAAGCAGAGACACAGACTAGCCCTGAAGTTATATTTGACTTTAGCAAACTGTTTCTCTACTCACTATTCAAACGTGTTTTTTCTCACGGTGTGGGAAGGCTGCTTTGCCCATGTGTCAATGACTGAAAAGGGATGCCTCGGCCGGGTGGCCTGGGGACCATAGGGACTGCAGCTCCCTCACTGATTCTGTCACTTAGAATTTCCTGCCCTTTTCCCCGCAAGGGAAAAGGTAAAATTTTGTGGGTTGGTTTCAGAACCCAGTCACCATTTATGACGTGGTTTGTGCACTTGGAGTTCTAAAATATTTTTAGAGTTCCAGCCTGGCTTACAGAATGCATTTTTGGAGCACACTCCATTTATAAGTTGAAGTCTCCCTGTATGCTGACTAAAACCATACCTTAAAGGTTTTGCTTTAGCTCAGTCAGCAAGTGTTCATGAAGCACCTGGGCACTGTGCTACACTGAGGATACAAAGACAGAAATGATTTATAGTCCTTGCCTTCAAGGAACTTACATTCTTTCATTGAGGCTGAAGTGTTGGGGCTAGGGAGAGTGATAGAGTAGATGGAGAGATAGATAGGCAGATGAATGGATAGATAGATAGATAGGTGTACGTGTAAGTGTAGGTATGTACAGAATAAATCCAAGGTATTTGTGGGTGAAAGAAGGCATTAGCAGCTGGGGTTCTGGAAAGGCTTTTAGTTGCTGCTTGAGCTGAGTCTTGAAAGAAACAAGAGATCTAAAGAGGCAGAGGTGAGGCATAGGAGAGAGCCAGTTAAGAGGCACACACCAACATAGGAGATGGAGGGTCATGGGTGAGGAAGCCATTTTGACTCGGCTATAGAGTATGGGAGGCATAGTAACGTAGAATAAGACTGGAAAGGTCCATTGGAGCCAGCTTGCAAAGGGCTGTAGATGCCAAATAGGGGATGTTGGAGGCAGTGGGGAGCCCTTAGAGTTCCTTACCTGGCCCTGGGCTCCCTTCTCCTCTGTGGGACCCCTGAGACTAATAGAAAGGACTGTCCTTGAGCAGATCCACACTTTTCCTTCAAACTTGGCTGGATTTTGGCTTAAAAGGCCTGTGCTCTTGCTAGTCTTAGATTAAATAAAAGATCTCCTTAGTCAACAAGCATTTATCAAGAGCCTATTATGGACCAGAAGAAAAGCAAAAGTATGTCCCTACCCTCAAGGAGCTCATCTCCTAATGGGGACTTGTTTGTGTCAGTGAAACAATAAAAAAGGGAACGGTGACAGTTGAAATGGAAAAGCAAGCTTTGTCCCTGACGAAGAGCTGAAAGGAAGGCAGAAACAGCTATTAGAAACATACATAGTTCAAGCAGGCTGCTGAGTCTTATTGGCCACAGAGAGTTGCCAGTGACCTGTGCTCATCTGTTGTTTTCCAGAATTCGGGTCTCCACCTGGAACAGGCTGAACTACCTAAAGAATGGTGTGCTTAAGTCTGCCTTAAAATCGGCTATGGCTCATGACCCCATCTCCCCTGTGCTCTCTGACTCCCACCTGGACGCTATGGACCAGCGGCTCCTGAGTATCTTGGCCACCGTAAAGCAGTGCACCGATCAGTTTGGGACAGATACTGTCTTGGTGGAGGATAGGATGACTCTCTCCCACTTGTAATTTTAGTGGGAAACAATTGAAACTTCTTTTTACAAATGATAGAAAAACAGCACAATTGATTCCAAACGGATGGATGGGAAAAGACTGAAAACAACCAACAGAGCTCTCTGGTCATAGGGAATGGGGTGCCTTTGGGTATCTGGTGTTTTTCCCTATGAGAAGCTAAAGCACCAACTAAAAGCTGTAGACCGTTGAGAGGTCCCTGCACAGCCTCCCGACATCCTTGGCACTGTTCTTTTTTTGTTTGTCCATTTCTAGTAATGGGCATCACACTCGGAAAAGCTGGATTTCCAGTTGCACAGGACTAAAGAAGCATGGAATTTGAGTGTGAATACCAGAATGGTTCTGGAGTGTGTGTGCGTGTGCGTGTTTCAGTTGAACCTTCCCGTCCTTCTTCCATCCTTTGCCCTCTGTGCCCAATCTTCCCTCCCATTTATCATCGAAAGAGACTTTAATCGTTTCAGGTGCAGTTTAAGCAGCTTCGTTCTTATTGGAGAAGGTACTTGCCACCTCTTAAAGAGGTGGTAGTGGTGGTAAGTAAAACCATCACTAAGCAAAAATAGCACATCCCTTCAGAGGGTTTATCTCTGGAGGGTCTCACTCTGCCCTTTAAAAAAAGAAAAACAACAGCAGCAAACCCTATGGAGTTGCACGGAAGGGCTGGAATGAATCTGCCCTCAAAGAATCAAAGCAGGAAGTGTGCCCTTATTTGTAGACAGGTTAGCTTCCTCTGTATTCTTTATTGCTGAGAGAAAGATTCCGTCGAGTATTGTAAGACATGTAAAAGTGTCCAACACCACCCCCAGGATAAAATTGGTCTCTGAAGTAAACTTTCTTGGGCTTTCTAATGTATCCTGAGCATAGACTTAACTTTGCTCCAAGCAGGCAAATGCCTTCCTGGTGAGCCGGGCTGACTAAACAAAAACCCTGAAGAAAAAAGAGTGGGGTGGGCTGGGGCTCTCATGTCGTGTTGTCTCTGCATCTGAAAGAAAACAGCCATGTTGTGTTGTAGGAGGGTGACTGCCATTCAGGGGCGGCTTGGATCAGATGGCCTCAGAGGTCCCATCTACCTTGGAAAGTCTGGGATTTCTCCCCTTTCTCCTGGGCTCCTCTTTACCTCTGCCTTTAAGGCCCAGCACCATGAAGGATCCAGAGTCCCTCAGAGGAGAGCATTCCAGGGGCTGCCTCTTTGGTGAGAAAAAAACCAGCTCTCTTCTCGAAACAGTAGTGGTCACTTTTCTGACAACGGGACTTTGCAGATGATTTGTGATTGGGGGCCATAGAAGAGAGTAGAAAGAATTTGCCATGGCTTTCTGAGCCTTTCAATTGGATTCAGTATTGCTGCGTGCAGCTTTTAGGACTTGCTTGTTTCATACTTCCATCTGACCCCTTATTCCCATCTTATGTCCCGAACCTACATTGTAATATTCTGGCTGTGTTTCCATAGCTCCAAACGTTGTGGCACTTAAGGTTGTTATAACTAGGCCTGTGTTTGTATTCTGATAAAAAGGCTCTGGATATGTGAGGTAAGCAGGTCCAATGGACTCTCAGCCCCCTAAATAAGCTTGGTGCCAACTTGCCTGGGTGTGTGTGTATGTCACTCGTGTTTCCTCTGCTTCTAGTCCTTATTACTTTTCTAGGTTTATACTTCCCTTGTTTAAAGACTACTATTTATATGATATAACAGAACATGTTTGATCCCAGCCACTGGGAATCAGGTTAAAACAGAGTCTTGAAACAGATTTAGGAGATTTAAGACCCAGTTTTCTGGATTTGAGATATAATATTGAGTATCCCTTTGGCAATATCATGGACGTTGGGCATTTTTAAAATACCTTGTATACATCATCTGAGACCAGGATGAGAATGAACTGTTAGGAAAAAAGGGTCTTGACACACAAGGAGAAGGAAAATACTCACACAAAATGCTATCATTGTGTCAAAGGGAGAAGAATGCCTATTCCAGTTTCAAGGTTGTTTACTGTGTGTATCCAGGAAAGTTCTCACGTAGGCCAAGAGTCATGTGGATGGCACCTGTCCTAAAATCTCTGGGAGATAGCTGCAGAGATAAAGTTGGATCTCAAGACTATTAGCCTTGCTCTCTGTGATAAATGCTACTTTCATGCTATACAGACACGAATGAATAAAAGAAGATTCTATGATCACATCCTTCCAGACATACCTCTTGCCTTTATGAGGTCAAACTGAAAAGAGAGGAAACTTCTGAAAACTTGGGAATTTCATTCTGGTGATTGAAAGTAAATTATTCTGCTAAAGGAAGAAGATAGAAAATAGAAGTGGCTTGATTAAAATGGGCCTTTTTTTTTCTTTCCCCAAACATCGATTCACTTCCTTATTACAACAAATTCATTGTTTCATGTTCTATTTCTTACCAAGCACAAATTCATGGACCTTGAGACTCAGAACCAGAATAGTAGTTAAAACTAGAGCTCTGTTGCTAGAATTAGGTTTTTCTACCGTTGGTGTCCTATGTTAGGATTGAATGGAGTTGGGGGGGAGGGGCGGCGCGTTTAGAAGACTCTAAATGAGAATCAGCCATAAGGCAGTGACTCCCAATTTCGTGCACAATAAATTCACCTTGAAGAATGAGATCCCTGTTAACAGTCATAATGACAATAATAATTAAATGCTTCTGGGCTCTGGTCCACTTCTTTCAGATTCTGAGCTGCTTGTGATCGGCGTGTGTACAGTTCAGCCATTGTGTGGTCATTAGTGTCAGGGTTGCTGGCAGCAGCCCCAGTGTGCATTTGAAATAAAAATCTAAAGCTAAATGTAAGGTCCCCCACAAAATAAGGTCTTAGAGTTAAGTGACTTTGTCCTGATTCTTGCTGGTTGAAACCTCAATTTTTAAGTTTAGGGAAGTGTTTTTATTCTAAATCTGCTTGTTAACATGAGGTGTTGCTTACATTGTGAGGAGAAAAAAAGTAAATTAAGTTGCCATACAAAGGAGATTACTGGATAGGATTTTATTTGCTCACAGATCATCTCCTCCCAGTGAGTCATTCTCCCTCTCTGTTCACACTTGAAGCTAACATGTTGCATGTCAAGAATTGAACATTAAGGAGAGAGTGGAAGGACTGGTGACTGGGCTGTAAATTCTCTGGAGGTCTTTGTAGGAAAAATGAACCCTGCGCACGGAGTAGATAATGGAATGATTTCAGGGCGTTACCAGTCAGCATGCTCGTCTCCCATTGGAATTTATTTTTCTTTTCCAATGCAGAGTACATTCCCCTCCCTTTTTGCCCATCTCCCATATACCACCACGCTTTTGTCCACTAGTGTTTTAGAAACACTAGTGAGTTATAGTGTCCAAATAAGAGAGCATCTCTTGTGATTTTAAGGTTTCAGGAAGTTGATTATGTTGGAAATGGAGACTTGGATTGGGAATTCAGAGGAATGAGGTACTGGGTGACCTTTGGGAAGTCGCCTTTACTTCTGTGGTATGGGCATAAGCTTCCTCGTATGTTAGATGAGAGGGTTGACTCAGGTCCCCAAATTACAATTTGAAGTTTCAGAGTACAGGCACAGGAAAATCCTTGCATGTCCCAGCCACAGTCATAGCCAACAGAAAACACTTAACTTTGGCACAGTCCGTGTTCCTGGAGGAACTGACATTGAAGTGGGTAAAAGATCCTTTCCAAGTCCCTTTGAATAAGATCTAGGTGCCCAGGTCTCCAACTTTTGTCTCTGAGAGCCTGACAGAGAACAGGGGTTAGGAGGAAAGGAAGGAGGGCCTGCCAATCAACTCTGCAAGAGACTGAATGGATTGTGTCATCATTCATTCAAACGAATAGGGGTGGGGTGGGGGATAATTTATTGAGAAGGTAACTTATTTACTAATGGCAGCTTGAAAGGGAGGGCAAGAACTCTGCTTCAAGCTGCCTAGAAGCCCCAGCTGCACAGCTAAAGGTCATTCTTGGTCTAAAAAAAGAGAGAGATGCTTAATAGAAAAGAAAACAAACGTCTCAATTTTTACATGTGTTCTGTTGGTTCAAGTTCTGAATCAAGAAATGTGAAGCAAATAAAGATTTTAATAAATGCTGGCGTATCATCTTTCTCCTTCTCGGGATGTTTCCAGGGGCCTGTGTTCCTTTTCCTACCTGTTTCATGAGGGAGCAACAATGGCAGTGGATTGGTTCTCTTGCACCATTTTTAACACTTTAATTCATTTATTTATTTTGTTTTGTTTTTGCTTTTTGGTGAGGCAGTTAGGGGCTGAGTGACTTGCCCAGGGTCACACAGCTAGTAAGTATCAAGTTGTCTGAGGTCAGATTTGAACTCAGGTCCTCCCGACTCCAAGGCTGGAGCTCTATCCACTGCGCCACCTAGCTGCCCCCAACACTTTAATTTCGTAATGGATGAGACTGTAAAGTCATTTGTTCCCAAGAGGCCAACATGACCTTGTAGCAGTGCCCAGGTGTACACTCCAGGATGATTGTGTGTGTACTTTTGTGTATTTAGTTGGCACTTTTCCCAAAGGTGAAGAATTGTGAATGCTGATGGATCAGCCACCAGCCGAGGTGAGGCCTATGGGCTCTTGGAAGAGGCAGTTATGGAGGGAAGTTGTAGTTACCAGATCATAACTCTTAGAGCACCTGGACATCTCCCTCAAGAGAATTAAGCTAAGGGTCTTTCCCCCATGTTACATCTTCTCCAAACAAAAAATTATTACTGGGGGGAAAGTGGAAAATAACTAGGACTTGGGGCTTTTATGGAGCCTCCATCAAGATTACACCTGCTGAGTTCAGTATTATTTGTACTTGAAACGTGTGGGAAAATTCAGTCCTTGTGCTTGCTTTGTTGACTCAGTGTGGTGAGGTCAGTGTAAGCCCTTTATCAAGGTCTAGACTTCAGTCATCCATCATTTCTCAGTCACAGCTCCTGTATGTATGAGAGCCTGTGGTTAAAAAGCTGGGTAGTGTGGCAAGGAAGGAGGGGCTCTCTTTGACTTAATCTTTTATTCATAGTGACTTGTAAGGAACAGCTCACGTTCTCTGCTTCTGAATATTGTAGGCCAGGGGATTATCTTTAACACTAGAGAACTGATTCGGTTTGAACCTGAACCAGTACCCAAGCATTAGGATGCTACAGAAATTCTAGGGCAAGGTTCAAGTAGACGTTCATAATCATAGTATTTATAAAGTCCTCAGATTTTTAGAGAGCTTTACAAATACTTTAACCCCACAACCACCCTGGGAGGTAGGTGCTTTATAAGCCCCCTTTTTTTTGCAAATGGGGAAACTGAGGCAGACAGAGGTTAAGAGACTTGCCTACACAGCTAACCAGGTTTGTCATTTCCTTCTTTAGTGGATGGAGGTTAAGTGACTTGTCCAGGGTCACACAGCTAGTAAGTGTCTGAGGCTGGATTTGAACTCAAGTCCTCCTGACTCCAGGGCCAGCGTTCTATCCACTGAGCCATCTAGCTGCCTCCCCTGGAGGGTTAGTTATGAGAAAAATTCTTTGTGAATCTGTAGGTATTATAGAAATGGAAGATGGTTGGCATCAGAAAGCCAGCCTCATGCTGCCTAACCCTCCATATAAATCCACTGACAGGTCCCGAGTATCCACTCCCAAATGCTCCACAGCAGGAGGTCACTAGTTTGTAGGTTGTGGGGCACCAAAGGGTTATTTTAGCATAATTCCATCAAGACTTGTTTTCCCACAAGAGAGGGCATCCGTGACTGTCTCAAAAGAGACATCTGATCTCGCCCAGAAATTGTTTTCATGTCAGAGTTAACTGTCTTCTTTAAGGTTGTTAGGAAGATGCTCAAAGTTCCCCTTGAAAGACTTTGAGCTGGAAGTATTACGTTCTTGAAAGAAGATTAAAAGACTTGTTGACCCTTTGTGATTTGGAGCCCTGATTCTCTAGCTTGCTCAAGAAATCATGTAATGTCCATAACAGCCTCTAGATGGCCTAAGAGAATCGGGGAATTCGGAGATTCAGTTAACAGCTCAAAGGGCTGAGTCGAAGGACCAATGCTTTTAGAGAAACTAACGAAAGCAAAACGGTGACTTTTTAGTTATGCCAAACGAAAAGTGAAGATTCAAAGTAAGAGTGTGAGAGAGTAGACTCATAGCTGAAGGTCTGAGTGTGATGGGTGTGCATTTGAAACGCCCACACTAATGTGAGAATTGCTTTATTGTGGAGCAGTAACCAAGTAGGTTTAAAGCGGACCATCCCCTGAGTCACATTCGCACACGTGCAGTGACGGACTGAACTATGGGAGCAGTTCACCAAAGTCCACTGACTGATGGAGTCAAAAGGCCTGCTTAGGTGTCCGTGTTCCTACCGGGAACTCTTTAGAGTCAACAATTCCCTTCTTAAAATTCTATGATTTGCTCACAACCCTCAGAGCATTGCCCACCCTCCTCCTACCTGGGTAAATCATTTTGCTCAGACCCTGTGTAAATCCTCCTGGAAGGATCACAAAAATAAGCCACTGGAAAACACCCTTGGAGTGTGGAGTTCTGCCTGTGGAATGGTATCCCTCGACACAGAATTCCAAGGATCGTGTTTTAAGAAATCTTTACAATGATGTACCTTCCCAAAGAATCTATGTCTTTTGGACAAGTTCTTTGAAGCCATGAACTCACTAAATAATGTCTGCTACACCTTCAGGTAGTGGGTTTCATCTTGCAAAAGGAAAACTGGGTAGCAGGTCCCAGAGTGTGGGTTACTCCTCTAAACTCCAAAGTAAATATAACCCTGTCCTCATTTAATCACCAACCTCTCTCCAAAGCTAATTGCACACAGAGCTGTGCTGTGGCCATTCCACACATACATCCCCTGCCCTGAAGGAACTTTCAGTATATTTCAGTACAGGGAAACAGAGGCAACATCAAGGTTTTCAGTGTGATTGACTTTGTTAAGGCTGCAGATAGATTAGAGGGGCCATTGGTAAAGGAGAAGTTGAGGAGGGTGATCATTACTTTTCCAGCTAGGAAAGCTTTTCTGAAAGGGCTCAGAACTCAGTGACTGAGTCAATGGGAAAGGATTTTGGCATGATGCTTTGGAGGTGTAATTCCAGACATAGGGTAGGGCCTGGATGAAGACATAGGCAAGACAGAGATGAGTAAGCGGATGCCTTGAGCACATTTGCCTGGGACATTTATGGGGTTTGTTTCCTAGAAGCTCCAAACCCAGCCAGGCAAAATCTGCTCCTGGTGTTGCCTCAGTAACAGAGTCATCCTCCAGAGGCCATCTCACCCAGAGTAGGATGAGAAATAGATCTGGAAGAAGACGTGGGAATCCGAATCCCTGCTCTGACACCGGCCGTGTGACCTGGGCTCAGAATCCAGATCTCTGAGTCAGAGGGGACCTCAGGGTCATCAAGGCCAACCCATACCTGAGCTCTACAATATCCCTGACAAGTGCCCCACCAGTATCTGCTTGAAGATCTTATTCTACACCTGCCTGTAGTCCAGCACCTCTCCACCAATTGTGTTTCATTCTTAATCCTCTGGAGTCAAGACTGGCCATAGCTTTGGCCTGGATTTTGATGTCTTAGAGTTGGTTTTGTTTTTGTTATTGTAGTGGGTGCCCGTTGTCCAAGTCTTTTTTTTTCTTTTAAACATATACTGCCATCCGGCCATGCCCCATCCTGAACTTGTGCAGGGTAGTTTTTGAACTCAAGCATAAGATAACATTTAACTCTATTAAATTTCACCTTATTATGTATGGCTTGTTTTAGTTCTGGGATCATAGATTTAGAGCTGAAAGGCACCTTGAAGATTGTTTCCTGCAACCCCCTCATCCATGCAAACTGAGACTCGGAGAGCCTTAAATGACTTACGCAAGGTCACACAGGTAGTAAGTGGGAGAGGTGGGATTTGAACCCTGGCCCTTTGACTCTAAATTCATTGCTCTCTTCACTATACCACACTACCTAAAGTCCGTTAAAATGGTTTTTTAGATTCTTTAGTAATTCTTCCCAGTTTTGTGTCATTTGCATATTTGATAAGTATATTTTCTGTTCCTTCAAATTATTAACAAAAGTGCTAAATGGCAAAGGACCAAAAAGAGACACACTAAAGGCTTCCCCCTAGGTTGTCACTGAGCCATTAATGATTGTTTTTATCTCTGGTCATTCGACCAATTCTGAATCTAACTTGGTATCCACACCACTTCTGTCCCTCCTACTTGCAAAAATATCAAAGTGTCTGTATTTGTACATACATTTTCTCATCTGATCATAAGACTTAGAATCCTAGCTGAAATCCAGATATACTAGGTCAGTGGCATTCTCCTGACCTATCACTCTAGCAACCCTGTCAAAAAAGGAAATGAGGTTAGCTGGCCGTGTCCTGTTCTTAATGAACTCATGATGGCTCTTAGTAACCAGAACTTCCTTTTTTAAAATGCTCACACAGCATCCTTTAAAAATACATCCGAGAATTTTGACAGGAACCAAAGTCAGCTTCGAGTTTCCAATCTCCCTCCCCCTTTTTCCTCCTTTCAGAAATTGGGTTGTTTCCCCATCTTCTGTCTAGCGGCACCTCTTCTTTTTTCTTTTTTTTTTTTTTTTTGCCCAAAGACTCCTGACAATTTACCAATCTTAAACATTTTTTTTTCTTTTGAGTTCTCAGATGTGGTTTGTCTAGACCTGGTGACTTGAACTAATTAATTAAAGGCTTCTAAGATGCTACCTTCCCAATCTCCCAACTTATCCTGGATTTCCATCCCTTCCTCAACATTTTGATTCACTTCTTCCTGGTCTCAGTATTCATTGTCCTTGGTAGAGAAAACAGAAATGGAATAAAAGTTGAAGAGCTGTGCTGTCCATTAGCGTCGTCCCATCCTAGCAGTTTTGTCTCTTCTTTGATCTGCCTCAACCTTCAACTTAGCTCAAAAGGTTTTTTGTGCCGTCTGTACCAGCCCCAGCTGATTCTAAGGTTTGGTGGAAATGATGCCCTTCTAATCGGGAATCATGGATGTTAAAACTGGAGAGGGCCTTGGGAACCATCCTGTCCAATGCCTTCATTGTAAAGAAACAGCCCTTGGTTAAGTCCCACTGCCCTAAGGCATGAAGTCAGTGAGTG